AAAAAAAAAAGAGAGAGAGAGCTGTAGGAGAACAAAATATATTTGGACTATCCTGAAGTTAAATTATGAATGCATGTTATTCTAGTACTTTTGAAAGAGTTCCAAATGAAAATAGATGCACAGACACAACATCAATAGCTAGTGTAACATAAATGATGTTACCATGCCAGTGATTAGAAATAGGATAATTTTTTTGCTTACTTTATTTAAATAATTGCTAAAACTGGTAAAATAAATAGAAATGTGGGTGAAAGATTAATATCATACTCTTAGTTACCCTCCTATAGAGATTTATATTCATTTACTTATCTGTTATGTTGTAACGAGATTTAAATTGACAATATAACTTAATAATTTATCAATTTTAGCCTGCACAAGACATATCTGCATTTAAATAAATGTGTCAATATTCCCAGAAAGACAAGTAAAGAAAAAGAAAAAAAATAGGTATTTTATTGGAAGGGTTAAGTGCAAAACAGTATCTGTAAATTCTTGCAGGTCTTCTGCTTCTCTGTGCTTTATAAATTAGACCCTGAGCATAGTGATTAAAGTAAAAGATGTTGTTAAAGATGAGCTAGGAGCTATGCCTCCAAGTGATAGCCAGTAATGGAATGGAAAAATATTGTTTTCTAAAGGTATTCAATTAAACGGTATAAGAAGGCTGAGTATTAAATGTCTGATATTTTGATAGCGTTTCAATTAATGTCAAGTAATAAACTAGACCAGGGATTAGGTGAACGAGAAGGAAGGTTAATCATTTTCCCTGTTTGCTCAGTTACAACGACTTAGAATACTGAACAACTTGGGCAACTTTCTAGTAAACCAGAGACTTTTATTTTTTCCTAGAAGTACACCAGCAAATAATTCTTAGGAAAGTGAAGTTGGTATTTTATGGTAAAAACAAACACAAATATCTGAATTCCAAACACTTCGCCTTCTTCTTAAGATGAATCTTTTAGTTCCTCTATCTGTCCCAAACAATGAAAATTGAAATGTATATACATCTCTGAAAAAGTGATTTATCTGTTAGTCAGAAAGTATTCTTACCCCTTGAATTAGAAAACTATTAGATCAAAAATTGGATTTTTTAAAAATTATACTATCAACTTCTATTTCTCAGTTGATGGACATCACTGTCCCCTAAACTATTATCAATAACTAATGTGAAATTAGAGTGTTGCAGTTTGATTATTAAGTATTTTTGAAATGTGCAGATGGCATGATAATATGATAGTATTAGTGTTTACTATATCCATAAATACTTGAAATTAGCACAACAAAGTCAATAGTATGATAAGCAGTTATTTCTTTAATTGCAGGGGAGGTTCTGTAATTCATTCATTTTTATTGTAAATTATACATTCTATAAAAGCAGTATTTCAATATACTGTGTGTCAATATGGATAGTGTTAAATGTCAACAGATGCTCCCAACAGAAATATTTTCAATTTCTTCCCTCTCTTCTAGTGAAATATTGTCAAGTTAAATAAGTGACAAAAGACGGGGAAAAAATGCTATATTCAGCTTTGAATAGAAGATACCACAGGCATCACAGAAGTGGTCATTAAAATCCGGTGTGGAAAGGAATTACCCAGGCCTAGTCAACGTATGGTCTAAGCTGCTAGCTTAGATAATGTGTAAATATGAATTTATTGCATTCTATGAACAACAACAAAAACATCACAATTTAGTGTCCTATACAACTTCAAGAGACAGCAGTGTATTCAGCAAGCATCTGCACTGTTTTAGGGGCATCATTTATTTAATATAAATTTAAGACAAGGATATTTATGTTCCTCAAGAAAATTAGACTGTAATAGCTTGATTTCATGACAGAAAAAGTTTTATGTTGTCATGGTATATGTATGGGACTTTGTTTCTTTCTGTAATAATCCCATCTTGCTTGATAACTTTCCACTTACTGTCCAGTTTGAGGAGAGCTAGACATCAACAGGATCTCAAGTTTCTAAGATTTTTTCAAAAAGCAACTTGAGAGGGAAAAGAAACACAACACACAGTGAATGAAAGACCAAGACAGGAACTCTACAGTTATCTACTGATTAGCCATGCATCCTTCACGTAATTCAGTGCCTGTTGCTAGTCTCTCTAGACAGTGTTAAAAAAAAAAATGAAGGAAAGAATTCCATGGCTGGGTAGGGACCTGGAAAATATTTTATGGGAAAAAGGCTTACAGGAAGTTTTGAAGAAAAAGGGATTACTGTGCTACTAAGGTAAGGAAACTAACAAAACAACAACAAAAAGTCTAAGCCTGATTACTATTATTCCTGACTCTGAAGAAACAAGCTGTTAATTACTTACTGTCTTGACTGATAGGATGTGTACTGTGGAATATGTGCTTCTATGGAAACAAACTGGATTGGCAGATATTCATTGCTTATGAATTTACACTGCTTGAGATTAAAGATTCTCTATATCTTTGGAACTGTAGAAGAGTTCTTCTTGTGGTGGCTCCAGAAAGGTCATTTAATTCATGTTTCATGAGCATGCATTTGATAGTGTTATTTTAGTGAAGTGTAACTACCTTGATTGAAAGCTATCTGTTTTAGAGCTGAGAAAACAAACCACAGTGTTAGTATTTTTCAGATGTGTGATGTAGAACATATATGTCTAACCAGAAACTTTAATGTTTTTGTTGCCCTCTTTTCTTTGCTTTAATGAATTTTTTTTTTTTAATGTTTTGTTACTTACATATATTAACTACGTATTTTATATTTGGCCCAAGACAATTCCTTTTCACTCAACATGGCCCGGGCAAGCCAAAAGGCTGTAGACTCCTTTATTTATACTGTAAATTTCACTAATGTTTGATGATAATGAATAGTTTTATATTCAAATGAAGTAGACAAGAGATTCATGAGAGATGTGCCTCTTAAGGAAAGTAGGTTACACCATCAGGAGCTTGTAGGGCAGTAGTTAAGTGTTTGGTTCGTGTCTCACCAATTCTTATATTTTTTGTACCATCTAGTAATGGAAGATAACAGTATTTAAGTCTCCAGATTTTACAGTGTACTGTGCCCCTGGAATGCTGTTTTCAAACAGTATCAGAAATGCTTCTGATTGAAGCACTTCTAAGAACTCTTATGGGTCCAAATCTAGTGGATTTTTTTTTTTTTTTTTTAAAGCAAGTTTAGTACTTTGCAAAAGAATTGTGTGAATGGTTTGAACTACTGATTAAGCAAGACTCGTGAGAAAATTTGGCAGTCAAGATTAAAGACCTTGATGATGTTACTGTCATTTGTGTATCATCATGTGAGTCCTGTAACTCCTTACCAGTTTTCAGGAATAAATCTATTTTTTATTTTGAAAAATTAAAATATTTTAATGTGCTTTTTACTTGATTTTACATTAAAGTGAAAAGAAGTAGTTTGCTTATAGATCTTTTTCCTTAATACTTACATATTTGTGGAAGGTAGTCTTTTTGTGAATCTTTTCTTTCTGAAAGACTGAACAGCACAGTCAAAATTCCTTCCTAAGGAGACCAGATATGTGTATGGGGAGGAGGAGCATGTATCAATTTCTAAATACATATTCTTCCATTTTTGCTATGCAAAACTACAAGCCATTCACTAGCGGTGCAGTGGAATGGGAGAGAAGAAGAGATAATGTATTCTAAGCTCTGTGTGCCTCATGTGGTCCACTAAAATGTGTTGAGTACTGCAAAGCAAAAAAGCACATTGTTCAATGCAAAGGCTCTAGTTGTTTTTCTAAATCAGAAATTAACAAAGGCAGATCTCAAGTCTTTAGAAAGGACTGATTGATGCTTTAGCAGGGTTCAGATCTACCACATCACAGGATGTCAGCTCCTTTCATGCAGAAGCCTTCATTTCTCCCTGGCAAGACTTTCTGTCTTTCTGGAACATGTTCTGGCATAATGAACCCTTCTATTTCTTTGTTTTTTAAGGTGATGGGGGCCATTTTTAAGGATCAGGGCCATTACTTCTGCTGGAAAGATAACCCACTGGGCGGGACAGCAAAACAAAACAAGGAAATTCAACATTTGAATCCAAAATGCAGAATTACTGAAGAAGCAGATCCTACAGCCAGTATGTTGCCAGTAGGTCTACTATTCAGCAATACAAGTTCAAGGAATATTGCACATACTGGACTGATTTAACAACTGCTACTAAACTGAGTCAGGCTGCAGCTCCCACTTCTGTGTCCCTGCAGAGTGATAGCTAATGTAGTACTGTCATGAGAGCTAGGGCATCACCTGGCCGTAGCATAGTGTTAGAACTGTGCGTTAGTATGTCCTGTGCATGTTTTAGACTGTTCACATGAGTATGTTTCAAAATACTTTATCCAGCTTCTGTGTGCAGGACCAGGAAAAAAAATAATCATAGAAACACTCAAATGTAATATGATATCTAAAGAAAAATAAACAAAATTGAATCAGGAATTCTTCTGTCAGTCAATAGAAATTCTGTTGGGTTATTAGCTCTTTAGCTCACCTTTACTTTGCCTTCATGCTGCAATTTTCATGCTTACTGTTAAAAAGTGAGAGAGTGTAAACATACAAAATCCTGCATGTTGTGTTATCTCTTCTTTCCTTGAAGTATGAAATTACATAAGATTTTATCTTCACATCTAGAAAGTCTTAAGCCTTTTGTGCCTATAAGATACACGTATTAACCAACATATATACTCTTGGCCCATTCATTCTCTTTGGCACTAAAATTGTTGCTTTCTGTATTCTGGGGATACAAGCAGGAAGGTTACACATGACTTTTCAGTGTTTCCTGTGTCACTCTGATAAGCTATTGGGAAAGCATTCATTTCCTTTTTTTTTTTTTTTTCTTGAAGCTCAGATTGCAATACTGGAAACATATATCCTGAGGAGTACCCAAATTAACCTTATATTTGTGAATCAAAAAAAAGAAATTACCTAAACTTACAATTAATTTTTTAATTAAAATAAAAAACTTCTGAAAGCACTGCTGCACAAACAAATTAACATGTTTGTTTTTACTTTGTAAATGTAGTACATTTACTCCTAAAATGCAAGGCAGACGGATGGGGACTTCAGGGAGAATCACTAAGAGCACAAGTGTGAGCGGAGAGATGTATAAGCTGGAGCACAATGATGGGAGTCAGTCGGACACGGCTGTCGGCATGGTTGGAACAGGTGGGAAGAAAAGGCGTTCCAGTCTTAGTGCCAAAGTGGTTGCCATAGTGTCTCGAAGGAGCAGAAGCACATCTCAACTTAGCCAAACAGGTGAGTAAGACGCATGCTATTTGGAAGCAGGACTCTCACCAGATGTGGTTTACCGTTCTTTCATCTGTGGCATTTATGTTCCATGTATTTGGGTATAGTCTACTTAGGAGAAAGGCTTTTCCAACTGTGAAAAAATTTCTGATATGTTAATGTTCTTTGATCATTAGGCAACTACAAGAAACCAAATACAAATGCCTTTTAGCTATGCACTGTAACAACTTTCTGTCCTGATCAACAAAAAGTGTTTTCATCTCTTAGAAGCCTTGTTTACAGGTAGGCAAATAAATGCAAAGAGTTATCTGTGGGTATAAGTAGTGCATAATCATTTGACAAGGGGCAACCTTTTATGTATGGAATTTTTTCATAGTGGAAGCTCTGACTGCAAATGAGGGAATTGAAATCTAAGCAAGTGAATATCAATGATGTAAGTTGTATAGCAGTTTGTACCTTTGGTGCCAAAAAATGTGATTTTAAAAGCTATCTTTGATTTGTTAGTCACGAGTAAATCCAATAATTTCTCTTTAAAAATAACACTGGCAAAATAGGGTCAGTGAATTCAGCTAAATTAGGCTAGAGAATGATGCTTCCTTAGGAACATAAGACTTCCAACTCTTCAGTGCTACTTCAGAGATCTTAAAAGCATAATATCTGCATTGCCTGAAGGAAAAAATAGTTCATTCAGAAAGATAAAAAATGGAGAAAAACAAACAAACAAACATGTTTTAAAGTCCCTTTCCTTCTCCTATTGAATTCTGATGAAGACTTTTGCTCTTGTCTTCAGTGTGAGCAGGAGCTGACCCTAAGGGTTCTTTCTTACTGAAAGAAAGTGAAGGGAGAAAAGGAAAGAAAGAAAAAAAAAATCTTCAGCCTAGCATTGAATTTAGAATTTAAATATGCAGCATCTCACCTCTTCTCTTACATAGTCAGGATAATCTAGACTAAGGTAAGTAGTATCTCCGTTTTTCCTTTTTTTTTTCTTTTATGGACAGATGAGCAGTATAAGTGTTACAAAATGTAAAGCTTAGTCAGCTTCAGTGAAAAGATTTCAATATTTTTCTGCAGTACTCATTTAGGAGTTGTAAGCCATAAAGCATATAATCATGCTGTTGAACTAAATAATAGCTCTAGCAGGTATATTTGAAGCCCAGAATGTTAATGCTGTGTTGCTCAAAAGTGCTGTAAGATTATTAGCGCTTGAATCTGAGCCTTGAATACAGATATCTGTATAAGGTAAGCTGTTATTTTAGATGTATTAGTAAAAATTGCATCCAGTTAGATTATAAAAGGTGATAAGGTGTTAAGAGAGGATTCAGATTGTCACTTCACTCCCCTTTTTAGAGAACAAAATATTTTAACTATTTTACAGGGTATTTCTGTAATTTGATCTGGCATTCCTCTCTAACTCCTAAATGTCTTTGAAACAGGAATTGCTGTACTAGAGCGTATCTTTGCAGCATCTTATCCAAAAGTCCAGCAGCAGTCAGGAGCCAGGTTGTATGATTAAGAGGAAGGTACAGGGAGCTGCTAAATTAGGGATGATTTGCCTTGCTTGAACTTCTTAATGGGGTTAAATATTAACTTAAAAACTAAAAAATGACTTTTGAACACTTTTTAACATCATTTAGTTAAAGCTCAGATGTTCCCATTCTCCCCATGTAGTTGCGATAACTCTTCAAATGTTGGTTGATGTAAATAGAAAGTTTGTAAGGAGTGGGGCACCTGACATAATGAAATGCAAGCACCAAACTGTGAACCCCAATTATGTGTTATTCTAGATGGTAAAATTGAGTTGAGAATGAAATTTACTATTCCCTTACAGTGGCTTACATAAACAGTATTATCTCTGGTATAATATGAGCAAATAAAATGTGGTGTGTTTTATTAACCAGAATTTTTTTTAAAATTTTAATTATGTCAGAAATCAGTGAGATTAATCAGTACGTATTTTTGTAAGAATATACGCAGGAAACTTGATAGGTTTTCCAAAGAAAATCCATTATTGGAGAGTAAATATTTATGCATAAATCTGGGACACACTTCCTTCTTTTTGTGTACAAGAGTAGAGGAGGAATCTAAAAATGAGTAATTAATTTAAATATATTGCACCTAACTAAATCTATGTTTCTGCCACTCTCAGTAAAAAAAAAAAAAAAATCTGTTTTGGTGATGCAGCATAAACTAGATCTTTAAAAATGGTTGTGTGATAACTCAAACTAACTGATTAGAAAAAAAATAACAAAAGATTGGGTATTTATTGAAAATCCGAGTTTCCAAATTTCTGGGGAACACGTATATCAAAACTTCCCTTTTAATACTGTCACCAAAGCTAGTAAAATCAACTTCCATCTTGATTTTGCATTTGAAGAAATGGTCAGTAAGGGCTGAAATCCATTTTATTTTATTTTTGTACATAATTCTTGTTTTTAGCATACTGTGTGGGTTTAATCTTATACAAATGTAGAGGTGTGTGTGAAACTGCTACTAGGTAGCATTTATTTCTAAGAGTCAATTTTCTTTTCAAAGAAAAAGGAGGAGTGCTGGTTTGTGTGTGTGAGCCTGTGCATGCATGCGTGAACCTTTTTGCATTTATGGGGCAGATTTACTTGCATTTTAGATTCAGGACCAATAGCAAAATTTTTTGTGCACCCTTATTGGCCACTGCTGTTGGAAAATATTTTTTTCTGAATTTGAGCCTTACTCAAGATTGTCGGTGATAGGATTACATTTCATTCTTAAGTAACTCTGCAAAGAAAAGTACCTTTCAGTTATGCACCTACCTTTCCAGTTATGTTTCAGATTTTGTAATACTCTTTGTTCACTGAAATAAGGAAATCCTTACTTAGTATGATTTGTTTGTTGTGTCTACAAACTGGGTAGATTTTACAATTTAGAGAAGAATGCTTGTAATCTGCAGGCAGAATTTCTGATGACAAACCAGTTTTTCTTATAAATGAAGAGAAAAGAAGGAACCCACACTGAAGACCTGTAAGCATAAAAACAACTCCAGATACGTTTTGTGCAATTTTTTTTTAATTCAACTTGCATAATTTTCTCATAGTTTCCTGGCCAATGAGTAACTTAGGTTGACATTGTTAATACAGCATTTTGATTTGCTGTTCTTCATTTGTTTTGAAATAGAAACTGCAACCTAATGAAGTAGAAGTTTTACTGCAGAATTTATACCACAAATAGAGACTTAATAATGCACTTCTGGGTGGGTGGAAGCAATGGTAGAGGCATCACCTGTGAAAAAAAAGAAAAGATCAATTGCTTGTAAACAGAAATATTCCCATCTGTGCCAAATCTCCTAGTATGTGCAGAGGAATACCTTAGAAAAAGTGAAAAGATCCCTCCCTCCCTTTTGCTTTGTAACCTTGTTAACAGTGTGCTGTCAGAAGCACACTTTTTCTTGTTCTTCTAAAGTCCATAAAGTGTTTTGCAAATGTTCTGCCATCGTATCTTCACCATCTTGCTACCAGTGATTGGGTAGTATCGCATCTCTGTGACGTGTTCACTCTGATACAATTGCCTGCTGGGCTCTCACATTTCTAAGGCAAATGGACAGGTGAGCTGTCTGTGTTTTCATTTTTTTTAATTATGGACTTGAAGGATTTTCATTCTTTAGTCGCCTCTAATGGAGACCAATTTTTCTGTTAAAAGCAATGAGAGTAAGAGTTTAAAGGAATTACAAAATAATTTGGAAGTGTTTACTTAATTAAGATTTACGGAACATGATAGCTAGTACAGGTAGAAAGACTTAAAATGCCAGCTCTAAGATAAGTATGAACGAAACCACCGATGTTGTGAGTGGTAATGGTTTTGAGACATGGTGCTCAACACCACTCGTCTCAGTATTCTGGCTGTTTTTCCACTGTCATTGCTTGCGAAGCATTAGTGATCATACATAAGACACAAGTGAGAGTTTACCTAGGGAATTGTGTATATTCTCCATAACTGCTTTGAAATAGTGGCAGATGAGGAAACTAAGGAGATTGGAAGAATGAAGAGCATGTCCAGTTTCATGTTTCACTGATTGTGCTGTTTTTTTTCTAAATGGAAATACCTTGCCATGTTTATAGTATGAACTGTAATGAAGTATTTCTACCTAAGAACTGGAGTTGTTTGCTGTCCGTCTTTTGTTAGGGAAGTTTAACTTCAGCGAACAGAAATAAAGCCAAGGGCATTGACTTTTTGGATAGAGTTATAGAGTTTCTTGGTTTTGTTGGGTATCAGTGTATCCTCCAGTGATGCAGAACGCGACAGTTCAGTGGAGGTATTTTAACAACACTGGGCTGCCCTTAGCAGCTGGACTGTTAGGAAGCACCACTACACTGTGATAAAAACAAGACTGCCTGGATAGCATGAAAATTAATTAAAAAAAAAAATCTTCCAAGTTCCGAGCTACATAATTTCAGAGTAGATACTGCTAGAAAAAAAATCTGTTTTTAATTTGATAATGCAAGCAGAGATAATAATTTGTTGTAGCTTTATGACACAAAAGGGGATTTCATACATGTCAGTGTAGTAGTTAGTACAGATAAAGCAGATAAAAAATCGAGAATAAAATGTACTGAATGGTGGAGACTTTTAAGAGAAGGGAGGTTGGTTTTTTTCTATCTCAGAAAAGCCATTCCTTCCTTTCATAAAGAAGGGAGCTCAGGAAAATAATATTGATATTTTTTACGAGGTCTTAACAAACTTTACTTCTAGTGGTCTGTGGGTTTTTTTTTTCAAATTATTTTAATATATTGATTGCCAAAAAAAGAAATGACAATGCATTTCTGAGCATGTTTCTTTAACTTTCAGCCTCTGAGTTTATTTTAATATTAGTCATTAAAAAATATACTTAGAAAATTATATTTGATGAGAAAGAATTTTTGGACGTTTGGACTAATTTTATCTAGACTGCAATATATCGTTCTTTTTATAAGAGTGGAACTTGGAGATTAGTAAGGAGTACTGGACATCAGGGAAGATGCTGGTTAAGAGGAAGGCATGAG